TTGACGTTAAAGACGTTAACTTTTGAAATTGAAGACATAAGAGAGATTTCAACTATCAGTTTATCAAAGATCAAGTATCAATTACATTGTTTTCACTGAAAGAAAAATAACTTTGGCTCTTTTTCCTTTTCCCCCCTCCACCTGCAAATTTTTCAATTTGAAATTACTGTTCACTTTGTCCGATTGTCATGAAAATAGACATGCATATTGATTAGGCCATAACAAACATATTTGGTCTTCATAATTAGCCTTGTAAAACCACTCGTTAGACTATAAAATTCATGTTTGTGTGAGGTGGGGGGAAAAGGAAAAAGAGCCATAACTTAAACTATCGAATAAAAGTGCTCAAATTATCAGAAAGATATTAAAAACATACTAAAAAGACATAATAAACCTACTAAAGTTTTGTGACTTAATTTTGACTTGCTGGGTTTATAAACAGCCTTGGAAAATAAAAGTGGACGAGAAGTTGAAGATGAAAATCTTTTCACGTGTTAGATCATATTAAAGAACAGAACTTAACCCAAAAACTCTTTAAATTTCTTAATAATTATTGAGATACAGAGTATAAAAAGGCACAAAAAAAAATACTAGCAGTGGGAGACTTTTGCTATGAAGTTATTTCCATACAGTAGTTAAAATTAAACGCGTGGTTAAAAATAAACACATTTTTCTTGCATAGTTTTTCTTTCTTTTCAAGTTAATTTCAGGCAGTCGATTTTTTCTATATGATTAAAATTAAACCAGTGGTTACAGTAAAGCAATTTTTTCAAATGTTTTCATGTTCTTTTTTAATTAAGGACACCTTGAAGAGTCTAATGAAGTTTTTTTTAAGCTTAAAAATGATTTACCCTTCAAATTGAAAAAAAAAACTTTTCGGTTAGGCAGGCGAGAAATTCATTCATGTTCTATTAAATCAAATGTTTGAAAAAGTATCGAGTATCATGTAAAATTCTTAAGTAATCAAAAAATAGGCTCTCTAATTTTTTCACTTAAGAGTAACAATAAACTTTTTAGAATAAGTGACATATAGTTTGCAAGAATTCACGACGGAAATGTAAGGAACGACAATCAAACTTTCTTCTGTAGCGAATGAATTGAAAATCACTTGTTTTGATACAAACGTCTTCAAATGATATCGAACTAATTGGTATAGTTTTCTTTTGTTGAAATTGGCTAACTTTGATGAAAATTTCAAAAAACACAATACTTACCGATTAGTTTTTTTTTCAAAATACAATTTCAGCCGAATAAAGTGCAAAAATTTTTCTTACAAAAAGCTTTTATCGAAGTTATTTTTTTTTCTTTTGGCAAGGAATGAAAAAATTTGATATGAATCATGTCAAATTTTAAACATTTCTTTCTCGGCAACCATTTATGTGAACCATTTTAGATGTTTTAAAAGTTTTCCAGAAATAATTATACAAAGTAGTTTTCATTTCGCTGCTCCAAATCTGTCGAAAAGCAAAAAATAATCAAGTTGTTTTGTCAGGACGAAATAAAAAATGTTTCTTGAGTTATCATCTGCAGCGTTTTCATACAATTATATTGATGTACCTCATCTTAGTTTTTTGTGGAGATAAATAGAAAGTTTCTACTCCACATCGGATCTAGGGTCTTAAAGCACTAAACGACATAACATCGGCAATTTTTTTTTGTAGTCAATTTATTTTGAAAATTAGCCGATAAATTTCAACGAACTTGTTTTCGCAGTTCATCTGAAAATTTTTGCAGATAAATGTGAAAATATTGACCTTGGGCCGCTCAGTGCGTAAGACCCCGTTTCTATAATTGAAGTGTATATAAATTTTGAATTTTAAAATGGCCAGCTTGCTCATTCTGGCAAGTATTTTTTATACCAGTCTAATCAAGTTTTTTTTGAATAAAAACTGTATCAAATTAATTTTGTGAAAAAGTCTTTGCTGATGCCAATCATTTAAAAAAAAACAAATCTTCGAATTTGACTATGAATTGTCAATCATATTACATTATAAAAATCAGTAAATTACCCATATTTAACTTTATTTTGTCTAGTTTAACTAATAAGTTGACTATAATGGGGTCTTTTTTACGGCCCAATATTGATATTTTGATTACTTTGAAAATTAAATCATAAAGTTCAAATATGATTGCTTGAAATTAATTTAAGCAAATATTGAATTCAACTAACAGTTCCGACCTTTTTGGCCGTATAACACAAAATACCCTAAAAATGCAATATGAACTCAGAAAATACGGCAGTTATGAAACAGGGGCGTTTAACAGTGCCGAAGTACAACAGTGTCGAAAATTGATGATTTTCGGCACTGTTGAACAATAAAATTGTTTTCGGCACTCTTGTACTTCGGCACTGTTGAACGCCCCTCTAAGGGCATCACAACAGTGCCGAATAACAACAGAGCCGAAAACAATTTTCTTGTTTAACAGTGGATATAGGGTCTTAAAGCACTAAACGAGATAACATCGGCAATTTTTTTTATCTGTAGCTATTGTAGTCAATTTATTTTGAAAATTAGCCGATAAATTTCAACGAACTTGTTTTCGCATTTCATCTGAAAATTTTTGCAGATAAATTTTTTAGCCGAAATGACCGAAATTATAGACGTTTTATTTCCGCTGAACCCTTTTTACATTTCATTTTCTTGATAATTTCGGCTAATACTTTTTTATCTGTTAAAAATGTTAATTAAAAGGTTCAACCGCATTGCTTGAAATTGATTAATTTAGTCAATTAGATTAGACGGCATAAATTCCAGCTCAAAATGTGAAAATATTGACCTTGGGCCGCTCAGTGCGTAAGACCCCGTTTCTATAATTGAAGTGTATATAATTTTTGAATTTTAAAATGGCCAGCTTGCTCATACTGGCAAGTATTTTTATACCAGTCTAATCAAGTTTTTTTTGAATGAAAACTGTATCAAATTAATTTTGTGAAAAAGTCTTTGCTGATGCCAATCATTTAAAAAAAAACAAATCTTCGAATTTGACTATGAATTGTCAATCATATTACATTATAAAAATCAGTAAATTACCCATATTTAACTTTATTTTGTCTAGTTTAACTAATAAGTTGACTATAATGGGGTCTTTTTTACGGCCCAATATTGATATTTTGATTACTTTGAAAATTAAATCATAAAGGTCAAATATGATTGCTTGAAATTAATTTAAGCAAATATTGAATTCAACTAACAGTTCCGACATTTTTGGCCGTATAACACAAAATACCCTAAAAATGCAATATGAACTCAGAAAATACGGCAGTTATGAAACAGGGGCGTTTAACAGTGCCGAAGTACAACAGTGTCGAAAATTGATGATTTTCGGCACTGTTGAACAATAAATTTGTTTTCGGCACTCTTGTACTTCGGCACTGTTGAACGCCCCTCTAAGGGCATCACAACAGTGCCGAATAACAACAGAGCCGAAAACAATTTTCTTGTTCAACAGTGCCGAAAATCATCAATTTTCGGCACTAATGAACTTTTTTCATTGTTGCACTGTTGTACTGCCCTTATGAAAATAACAGAAAACGCTTCAATAACCATTAAAATTGCAATAGAACTTAACTAGACGGCATTTAAATTGTTTGAGCGCCATGTCTGTATAATGCGTTTAAAATTGAGTTCAACAATGCCGAAATACAACAGTGCCGAAACTGAAAATGTGATCAACCAACATTGTCAAAATATGATGACATTTGAAATTTTTGACTTCTGTTGATGAATTGTTGGCAGTTTTGTGTGATCTTTGTGTTGAGCTTTGAAGCGGAAACGGGGGGTTATTCTCATGCGCGAAGGACCGAATGGGCGAAAACTTGTAGGCCAAGGACCGAAGATAAAATTAAAGGAAAGCCAATTTAAAAAAAAAACAATTGCCATTCAATTAAAATGAATTAAATGAATCAACATTTTGCTTCTTTCATAACTAAACCTTTAAAATGTAAAATTTGTCCCATTTTTCCGGCGGTCAATGACAAATTGAAATTTTTGCAGATTTCTGACATTTTTTTCGGTCAATATCAATACTCCAAACCCTGGAAATGTTTACTTTCTTTCCCAAATTTTAGTTTACTGAAATCTGTTTGACTGATTTTTATTTTCGCGCTTCGGTCCTTCGCGCATGAGGGATTCCACCGCGGAAACGAAAAAAGTTCACAGTTTGCCGAGATAATTGTTTGTTCAGAGAATATTATGACGCCGCGCTTCGGGAATTTTTTTTTTATAAGCGGCATCAATTAAAATAGCATTTTCAGCTTTTCATTTTCCATCCATTTGAAAAAAAATACTTGTCAGTAATTTCGGATAAGTAAAAACAGTATAAAAAATAAGTTTCGGCATTGTGGAACAAGATTTTGATTTTCGGCACTGTTTTACTTCGGAACTGATGTACTGCCTCTTAAAATTGATAAAAAGCTGACGATGTTATTATCACCTTGTGGTAATAAAAATCAAACGGTTGAAATAATTTGCATTCATCGAGGAGGAAATATCCGCTTTTCATGAAATTTGAGTCTGATTGGCAAAAACTTCAATTTCAGACATGCTTTTTCTTGAGTTATTAAATTCAACCGGAAATGCTGTAATACCACGCATTCTTCCGTAAAAGTAATTTTTTTTAGATAATGGGTTTTAACAAAAAAAGTGTGGTCAAATAAATAAAAACCTATGATTATTTTTTCAGGCTATACGTTTTTCAATCAATTTAACTGCCTTATTTCTAAGGAGATTGCAAAAATTCTTTGATTGGAAATATGCTCCCTTTTATGTTCAACTTTGTTTGAAGTGAGGGAAAAAAATGTGTGCAAACTTTTTGGTTAGTCTGGACTTTTATCAACCCAATCATAACCACCCTAAGCATAAAGTTTCCGTCACTTTCCTTGGAAGTCGGAACATTAACAAAACGATAGCTATAATGATACAAATAAAGATATTACTTTGGAGTTCTTAAGAAACAGAATAAAAAAGAATTAAATAAAGCAAAATATTTTAATGTCTTACCCTGACACGACATCGCCGCAAATAGGACAGGGTCCCGGTTGTGTCCCCGACAACCCCCCGAAACCTGGGGAGTCCGAGATAGCCCAATTTCTCACAGTAGCAGTGACGCCAGTACTGGACGAGGAGCTTCCGGAACTTCCGACGGATAATTGCTCGTAATGTTCGTTCAAACTGTTTCCAGTCAATCGAGCAGATGCGAGTAAGTCATTTGGACTGCTCAGAAAATTTTCAGCAGATGGGGGGTTATGATCGAAGTGGCTTGATGCAAAACCATTAGTAGTTATGTTTGAGATAGTATTATTTGTCGAGTTACTGGTCGGCAAAAGTAAAATTGGGCTCAAATTTTGGTCCGGAACAGACATAATCATGTAAAGCAAGGATATGAAAAAATTGGACACTCACTAAATTTAAACTTTGCTGGACATTTTTTTCTTTTTGGATAATATGAAAGCTGAAAAAGAATATAAAATAACTACTTATTGTGAATATATCAATTGAAACATTTTTTTTCTGGGATTACTGTGACGTCATTTACCAAAATTCATCTTAAAAAAAAACAAAAAAATGTTTTCAAATGTGCAAAGATAACAATTAGATAATCGCGACTACATTCTAACTACACAAAGTAGAACGCAGAAATAAAACTAAAGAACAAGTATATTGAATTCGGTGGCATAAGCTAAGCAAAATTATATATGGCGTTTTGAATGGTATTTCTGTGGTACGTAAATCGACTGTCATTAGAATTGGCTTTCAGATGTATTGCTATGTTCACAAGCTCAACATTAGCTGATTGTTGAGTGAATACTATAACGTACTAACCTCCAAGCTGTAATTTTAAATGAACTCAAGAGAATGCTAGTTTTCTTTTCAGTTCAAACTTCCCCCCCCCCCCCCCCCCCCCTCTTTAATGGTAAGCTTGGGTTTCGATCATTGCACGGTTTGACCTAAAAATCTACAACCACGAAAAAAAGCTCATCATACATTTTCTTACAATGAGTGTACGGAAAAAACCCTTATCATATAATTTTCCATACATGAAAATTGTATGATAAGCGTTTTTGCATATCTGGAAATTGTATGACAAGCATTTTTCCATGTATGAAAATTGTATGACAAGCATTTTTCCATGTATGAAAATTGTATGACAAGCATTTGTGGTCAACGCGGGTTGAAAATGCGAATTCGGGAAATTAAAATAATAATAAGAAAAGCCTAAATTCTACGTACAAATTAGGGGGTATAACCAAGAATTAACACGCCGCTGTTTTTTATTTTTAAACTTGTATAATTCAACGTTTTTGCCCATTTCCGTTATATGTTTTTTATGGGTTGTTCGCTATATGTTCTCTAAAGATAGCGACCCTTTTTATGTGATAAGAGAATACGCGATAAGTCACTGAGAACAAAACCTCTTACAAGACTTTCCGAGTAAAAAGGAAAACGTGTTTGTAGTCTTTTTGATGAACTCAGTAAACCGAATTGACAATAATATCATTTAATGACTAGCTTGGGTTTCAAGGGAACAATTTTACTTTAGATGGCTTGATATTTTTGCAGCCCATATGCGAACTATAGCGCTAAAAATTATCATAAAATATTCTTTTCGAGCCATAGTTTATACACCGTTTATAACACAAAACGCTATTGGACAAAGCGATGTCTCAGAAAGCAGAATAATTATTTTAAATTTGAAATATTTCAATTTCTTTGCTGGTTGAAATGATTTTTTTTTGTTTAAATAAAGTACCCGGGTTGACGTCCATAGAAGAAAAATGCTTGTCATACAGTTTCATATATGAAGTCTATGGAAAAAATGCTTATCATAGAAAATTCATGCAAAGTTTAAAAGGTGTTTTAAAAATTTTTAATGAATATTTTTGGTCTAATTGCCTCTTTTGAAGCTTTCTGGTCATTAAAAAAGTGATTTAAAATTTTTTATAAAAATTGTTTATCATACAATTTTCATGTATGAAAATTATACATTAGTCATTTTGTCATAGAAAAAATAAAATTTTCAAAAATCACCAAAAAACGTGTCTGGGTAATTTTAAATAGATTTACATAAGTATATCTATGATAGAGGGCATATTGAAAATCAAAAACATAATTTTAGATTCGAACAGAAAAATGCTTATCATAAAGTTGTATGATATGCATTTGAAAATTGTATGATATGCATTTTTTTTCATAAACAAAAATAAGAATTTGAGGTAAAATTTTTTTAATCCCTCTTTTGGTTGCAAATTTTCTTTTGTGCTAAACTATAAATTTTACGAAAAAAAAATTGCAAGCAAAATTTGATATTTTTGTGTTTACATTATCAACACAAAAATGTCAAATTTTGCATGCAAATTTTTTTTTTCGTAAAATGATTTTCTCACCCAAAAACCCAAAAATCACATGAAAATGATTTTTTTTTGTAAACACGATTATTATATTTTGTTTCATTTGCTAAAATAAAAAAAAATTTGTAAAAAAAAACAGGCCTTTTTTTCTTAACCATCATAATTTTCAATCTAAAAAATATCTAGCCACATTCAAAAAGTTACTTTTTTGGTATATATTTCTATGTGAAAATTTCAAATTTAACTCTTATGGCTGAAACCACCAAATGCAGTTTATCTGCGTGGTAACTGCCAGCTACTCTATGGGTTTTCTCATGACAAAAAGTCTTTGGTTAGTGTTTCGGTTGAAACATGAAATTTCGAAACAAAAGTTTTTTGAATATTCATTTATGGAAAAAATGCTTATCACACAATTTCATAGTATGGAAAAAATGCTTATCATACAATTTCATATATGGAAAAAATGCTTATTTTGCTAATTTCATAAATATACTTTCACTCTGTGAAATTGTATGAAAAAGTATAATAAGCTTTTTTTTTCATAAATGAAAAATGTATGATAACCATTTTTTGTCAACCCGGATAACACTTATTTACTTGGCAAAAAATATTGAATAGAAAATTAAAATTATGAGCCCAATTCCCTTTACTAACCCACCAAAAAAATGTTCACCAACAACAATTTTGTTGTCCAAAATCAAGTGATAAAAATTATTGAGTTGATATTATGACAGATATTCGATGAACTGGTGGTTGTGTGTTAATTTTTTTCGTTTACTTTTTGAGTTCACGTTCTTTTATTGTCTCGGGTTTGTGAATTTCGTCGTTCGCCATAAAACACTTCTACAAGTAATTTTGATACGAGTTTCAAGATTCCATAAAAAGCAAAATTCAACAGAAAAAGAAAAGCTGCGCAAAGAGTTGCAATTTTGTATACGAAAAATCAATCTCAAAACACTGGAATGCATTTTCTCGACTTCCATTAATTTACTGCCAAGGTGTTCCATTAACCAAGATTGATTACACATTTATTGACTCTTTGTAACTTATTTATGAACGAGGTAATTTAGCTGTTTTACGTTGAGCTGTTTTACGCAGTTTTACTATCTGAGAGTTTTACGTAATTGATAGAAAATTCAAAAAATTGGAGATTGTTCTGGTTTTCTGGGTTCCAACATGACTCTGAAAACTTTAAATGTTGGGATTTCCCAAATACTGAAACTCATGGCAAGTTTTACTGTTTCAAAATGTTTTGATTTGTTTTTTGTTTTCATTTTGAACATCTTTATCTAAAAAAATCTTTCCATAATGTTTTGTCAAAAAAAATTGTTGTTTTATTTTTGTTTACAATCAGCCAAATAATCAATTCAATGAGCGCAGAATTAGTAAAAACAATAAAAATATCTCAAACTCATATCCCGACGAGAAACTGCTCTCAAAACTATAGAGTGGCTCAAAAATTATGATACAAAACCTGCGAAACTACAACAAAACAAAGTGTTTTCAATGCTCTAATTACTAAGCTAAACGTCTTTTGAATTTTTAGACTGGTAATGATACAAAACTTGATAAAAATAATGATACAAAACCTGCGTAAGATAAATATAAGATTTTTGAGTTTGATTGTTTCCAAAAAATTTTGGACAAACTTGCACCTGAACAGTTTTTGTGCAGAAGAAACCAAAAACAATTACGCTTTCAAAAACTGACTTTATTAATCAAAAAATATTAACTCGACGAGCTTGCCAAAATACGAAAAAAAATTTAAAAAAAAGAAAGTGTTCTCAAGGCTCTAGTAAGTAAGCTAAATGTCGCTTGAATTTTAAGATTGGTATTGATACAAAATTTGATAAAAATAATAATATAAAACCTGCGATAAGCCACGATTTTGAAATTTGCTTTTTTTAAATTTAAGCAAGAAATTTCTCAACGACCAAGTTAAATTACAAAAAAAGAAGAATAAATCAAAAGGAAGATCTGTTAATCATGTAGCGTTGACAATAAACAGTTTGTAAAAAATTAGTAATTCGAAAATTATGCCCTAATCCTGGGGGCATGCCAGAAGTTTGTTAATACAAAAAATAACATCGCAATGGCCACACAGAGTTAGGAACATGTCAAAAGCAAGCGTTGTTTTTGGTCTAGCGATAACGACAAACAGCTTTCTAAAAAAGTCAGTGTTACACATATACGAGCCACTGCCTCCGGTTAGCAATGATTCTGAGGAAAATATTGCTTATGAAAATTGTGTAATATCAAGAAACTATGAGAAAAAGGAATAAATTTGCAACAAGTGAATTGTTGCACACACCGTATAAATATTCAAACCAATGATTTTTGACTTTGATTGTTTCCACAAAAATTTGGACAAACTTGCACCACAACAATTTTTGTAAAAAAAAAACCGAAAAAAAATTCCGCTTTTAAAAACTGACTTTTTTAAACAAAAATTACGCTTCCAAATTCTTTTACTTTTCAGGTTAACTATTGGTAATTTTTCTCGATTGGGTAATATGTCTCACCCTCAAGCAACGAACAACAATCAAGATGCCCGGGTTGACCTCCATAGACCAGAAATGCTAATCATACAATTCCAAAAACTAAGTCTATGAAAAAATACTTATCATACAAATTTCATTCATTTTGCTAAAATGATGTCGTCGAATTTTCAAAAACCTTTTCTCTTGTTTTGGCATGAATTTCAGTGTATCGTACTACATAAAAAGAAAATTTTTTTGTCAAAAAATGCTAATCATACAATTTCCATATATGGAAAATGTATGACTAGCTTTTTTTGATGGCGACGACAAAAATTTCTCAAAAAAATTTTGAAATTGCCCCAAAACTTTTTTTGTGTTTTTTTTTCGAACGCAAATTGATTTTCGTACTCAAACAATCATTTTTTGAAAAAATTTTTGCATGCAAAATTTAAGTTTTTGTGTGTATAACGTAGTCCCGGATATACTAATATTGACTTTTTTTCCTTTTCTCTTCATAACTTTTTTCAAAAACGCTTAAAGCTCCCCTTTTTATATGTATGACATCTTTTTCAAATTTCAGAAATAATCATCTTTGAAAAATTTTGCCAAAATTTTAAAGTTCGTTCCTTTCGTTAAATTATTTGTGTGAGACAGAATTAAAACATTTCCAATGCATTTTTAATGCGAGACGGCCAAACTTTTGGTTACTACGTTTGAGTAACCAAGGTTTATGTCATTTGTGTTCGGTTCCGAACACAACCAAAAAATTTTGAGAAACTAAAATGTATAAAATCAATATTTTTGGTTTATGGAAAAATGTTAGTCATACAATTTCCATATATGAAAAAATACTAATCATAGACTTTTGATGCAATTTTCTGTACTTATGGAATTGCATGAAAAGTGTATGATTAGCATTTTTCCATATATGAAAATTGTATGACTAGCATTTTTGGTCAACCCGGGTGGGCTTCGATCTATCAAACTTTCGATTGAGGGGAGTACTTTTAGCCTCTTCACATTTTGAGTTCTAACCCCTTTCTGAATAGTTT